TCTGTCTCTGTCTCTCTGTCTCTGTCTCTCTGTCTCTTCTCTCTTTGTTTCTTTAAATATTTGTTTTGATATTTCTTTTTGTCTTTATTTATTTATTATCTGTTTGTCTGTCTTTTTGTTTATTTATTTATTTATTTATTATTTGTTTGTCTCTGTTTGTCTTTGTTTATTTGTTTATTTATTATTTGTTTGTCGTTAGTCTCTCTCTCTGTTGTTTGTTTTATTTGTTTTTACCGCTTTTTATCGTATTTATTTCTTATTTTATTTATTTTATTTTATTTATTTTATTTATTTTATTTTAATTTATTTATTTTATTTATTTTATTTTATTTATTTTATTTTATTTTATTTTTATTTTATTTTATTTTATTTTTCTTCTGTTGTTTTTTTTGGTGTCTCCTCCAATGACGTCTTTTTCTCGTTAATTTTATTTAATTTAATTTAATTTAATTTAATTTAATTTAATTTAATTTAATTTAATTTATTTTATATATTTCTTTTTTTGTTTACGTCTTTATCTTTTCCTCTCCTATCCCTGCACTGCCGCTGCGACAACTAAACAAACCCTAAACCCTAAACCCTAAACCCTAAACCCTAAACCCTAAACCCCAAACCCTAAACCCTAAACACTAAACCCCAAACCCTAGCGGAAAGGTCTCCGAAGAAGAAGAGACAGTTGGGGACTCCGCCCCAGATCTCGCCTGTAGCAAACCCTAAACCCTAAACCCTAAACCCTAAACCCTAAACCCTCGAAGGTGAGTAATCCCTAAGCCCACCAACACTAAACCCTAAATTATCTCTCTTAAAGCATAAATACAACTGCAGCAACCGCCTATAAAGGAAAAAGAATAAACCCTAAACCCTAAACCCTAAACCCTAGACACAGCCGCCTCGACCCGATGGGGGGCCCCAGGGGGCCCCGCCGAAGGGTTAGGGTTTAGGGTTTAGGGTTTAGGGTTTAGGGTTTACACTTTAGGGTTTTCAATTAGGGTTTTAACTTCCGTTTCCATCTACAGGTGTTTTGCTATGCCGCTCTATAAGTAATTAATTAGGTCTCAGCAGCAGCAGCAGCAACAGCAAGACCAGCAGCAACAGCAGCAGCGGCAGCAGCAGCGGTCTCCGGGAGCCTTCTCCCCTTTAAACGGCAGCAGTGAAGGAGTACTGCAGCAGCAGCAGCATAAGCAGCAGCCACTGCAGCGGCAGCAGCAGCAACAGCAGCAGCAACTGCAGCGGCAACAGCAGCAACACCAAGGCATATTCATCAACGCTGCAGCAGACGGCCTATACAGCATTTCCTATAACAACAGCAGCAGCAGCAGCAGCGACAGCAGCGACAGCAGCAGAGTTTTACTCCCCGAACAGCAGCAGGAGAGGGCAAAGGGGAATCACGGGCAGCAAAGGCAGCAGCAGCAGCAGCAGCAGCATTAGCAACAGCAGCAGGTTAGCATGCAGAAGCAGCAGCTGCTGATTCTGGATGCCCTATGCAGCGCAGCAGCAGTCTGCTGCGCTGCTGCTGCTGCTGCACTGTCGAGCAGCAGGATGGATCTCCATTGTGTGTAAAGTGCTGCGGCAGCAGCAACAGCAGCAGCATCAGTAGCAGCAACAGCAGCAGCAGCCGCTGTCGCCGGGGTCGTCCGCAGCAGAGGCAGCAACAGGTTTTGCTGCTGTTACTGCTGCTGCTGCTGTTGCTGTTGCTGCTGCCTCCTGTTGCAGTAAAGGGGTATCGTTTAGCTGCTCGTACACTCCAGCAGCCTATAACGCCAAAGTACTTCGCCCTTTCTGCTGCCTCTAGGGGGCCCCGGCAGCAGCAGCAGCAGCAGCAGCAGCAGCAGCATGAAAGAGTCCAGCAGCAGCAGCAGCACCAGTATACAAACGTTTTGTTGCTCGAAAGCTCATCAGGGATTGCTGCTGCCTCTGCTGCTGCTGCCTCTGCTGCTAGCCCTCCAGAACCATGCGGCGGCAGCACCAGCAGCAGCAGCAGCAGCCGCTGCAGCAGCAACAGCAGCTGCACCGTACTCCGCAGTGCGAGTATTTCAGTGCCTGAGGTGGAGCCCGACGATGCATGGGAAGGGGACCAGCAGCTGCTGCAGCAACAGCTGAAGCAGCAGCAGCAGCAGCAGCAGCAGCAGCAGCAGTGGGGGGACGACGAGGGTTTTGTCTCTGTCCGATCTGAGGATTCCCCTACTCGCATTTGGAGTTCTTATGAAGCAGAACTGCAGCAGCAGCAGCAGCAGCAGCAGCAGCAACCTCTACTGCAGCGAGGTTCCTCTAGCCAATTCTACCCCCGGCGACAGCAGCAGCAGCGGCAGCAGCAGCAGCGGCAGAAGCGGCAGCAGCAGCAGCAGCAGCAGCAGGGGCAAAATGAGTCTCGGGGTTCAGGCGTCTGTGCAGATATATCTCGCTGCAGATCTCTTGATGCTTTGCTGCAACTGCTGCACCGTCTTGCTGCTGAGAAGCCGCTGCAGCAGCAGCAGCCACTCGTG